CCTCTTCGGGCACCCTGAACCCAAACCACCCCTCCCCCTTTGACGGCGCCCGTGCTAGCCTTGCTAGCGCCGTTCGCCGCTTTCTACCACGGACTTCCCCGCGGACCTCTTCTGGCCGCCTCCAGTCCGGTCCGTCATCTCCCCATGGCCGACGGTGCATCACACGGCGCCGACACGGCGATGACCACGACATCGGGCTCCACACCCGTGCCGGCGGACCAGGGCCATCAGCCCTAGGGGGATCTACACACCCTCCTCACCTCCCTCCTTGCGCCCATCCAGGCGCAACTCGCGACCCTTGTGCCCATCCAAGGGCAACTCGCGACCCTCGCGCCCTTACAGGCGCAGGTGGCGACCCTTGCCACCGGCATGCAACAACTCCAGGACGCTGCGTATCCGTCATCTCCTGGCTCCCAGTCCGGGTCCCCCGTCCTCCGACAGGGTGGCCTCGGCGGAGCTTCCTCCTCCGTTGCCCCTGACCCGGCCATCGTGGTGACTGTCCACGCCCCTAGCACGACGGACGCCACGAGTCAGGCCCCCCCTCAGTCTACGGGCGCACCTGCCCAGATCCCGGTCACTACGGCCACGGTACAACAACCGCTACCATGGTCTCAGCTTTTCCGGGTGCCCCGCTCCTCCCCCCCCTTCGCACGACCGCAGCGCCACCTGACTCTCCCCCCTCTGGAATGCCCCGCGCCGCTTGTGCGTCCACCCCCTCCACTCTTCCTCCTGCCACCCCTCGATCGACCTACGTTCGAGGTCTCGCGGACAAGATTGCCCAGCTCCAGGCCGACCTCGCCCTCTTACGCCTTCAGCCACCCCCACCCTCACAGGTGGCCGCGCCTTCGGGCGCACCCCCTACCTCCTCTACCCTTCCTCCCATGCAGGCTCGCTTTCCACGACATGCACCGTATACAACTCCTTCCTACCTTCTTCCTACTCCCGCGGTTGCTGCGACCTCTTCTACCGCAGCACCCTCGCAACCTGTCGCTGTTGCCACCGCCGCTTCCCCATGCGGCCCGGGCGCACAGTCAGCTGCGCCCCTTTCTCCAGGACCTGCGCCAACTTACTCAGTCGTGGCACAGGCCTCCGCTCTGATACCAATGTAGCGGACCCACCAGGTGTGGTGCTCCGCTGGTGACAGAGATGGACATGGAGGAAGAAGGAGGGAGCAAGGTGCACAGCGCAGCTCCCCACGCAAGACTCCAACGCACGTACTCCAAAATGTGCAAGTGAGGAATGAGACTGAAAACAGACAATGGCTGGGGTATACCTTAGCGGACTGACSGGACTGGACTGGACTGGCTGGTACCGACAGAGGTACCGGCCTGGACTGGCCTACCCCGAATACAACACAGGCCTGTGAGAACAACCAAGGGGCTGGTCTCACAGACCAACCCAAGGTCCGCTACACGATCCTCGGCCTGTGATGGATCGCCTAGATACAAACATGCTTCCGCCAAGAAGCGAAACTCTACCAAAGAAAAGAAGACCTGAGTAGTCTAGGATGCGGAGCAAGCTCCATGCTGAGTCCATGCGATGCAACCTAGGATATAAAATGTCACAAAACAGCAATGTCACAGCTAACAGCCTAAGTGAAAGCAGAAGCAACTAACTAACATACATGTCCTAGGAAAGCAGAAAGTAGTGACAACTAGATCCTAGAATGTTGGAGGCACTAGCCTCAGTCAGGTAACAACCGACTAGTGTATAAGTCCTAAGAACAGCAAAAGCAGAACAACTAAATCCTAGAAATGTAAGAGGCAGTAGCCTCAGTCTGCGAGCAACAAAGCAAGAACAAGTCTATCATATGTCGCAAACCAAAGGGTGGGATGGTCTCTGAGGGTGGCGAATGCAGCCTAGGGGTCGAAAACTCCTAAGGGCATCCACACATAGATAACAGGGAGACACATGTCATCAGGCTCAAGGAGGGTAGGGAACTGAGAGCGAACAGAACCAATGACCCGAACAGATAGACCATCAGGGCGGGTAATGCTCGACTAAGGGGTGACCGCTATGGAGGGTCGACCATGCAAAGGAACAGGGGAGCCTGGTATACTGGGCGCACCTAGATGAAGCATGCGGGGCTGCCTAACTAGGGCGTGAGGGCCGGCGAAGGGTAGAAAGATGATGGGTGAGGGAATCATGCAAATGACTCCTAACGTGAGGGAAGTCGGAGCAAGATCCGTAAGATGGGAAGCCAGGGCAACGCTACGGTCCCGATGCCTATGCGTATACCAAGGGAGAGTCCAACTCATAGGAACCCGGCTAAAGGGAGACCATCATGCAACACAAGCAGGGTACTGTACAGGGTAGAGTGGTAAGAGAGTGGCTACGTCTGAAGTAGGCAGAGCTGATCGTGATGAAGTCCATGAAGCTGCCAATGACGTCCACGATGAGAAGTTTGGAATGCCGTCGAGGAAGAGCCGCAGCGTCGACGAGCTGAAGTAGCAAAACTGATGTGGATGGAGTACTGAGAAATCAAAGACGTGGGAAGGTAAGTCAGAGTCAATCGTCGTATCGAGCAGGACGACGACGAGTGCGCTGTGGACGCTCAGAAGCATCCGGCTGCTGCTGAAGGTCTRCCTCAGATGGAGCAGGCTCRACTTYAGCGGTCTCCTCAGCCGGAGGAGAAGSAGGAGGGTCAGTGGGCTGAGGAGGAGCAGTGAACCYAGCACGACGAGCACGGTCATAGGCACGCACCAACATGCGAGCGTGCTGCAAGTGCTCGAGGGGCTCCCAGGTAGCCTCCTCATCAGGGTAACCCTTCCAACGTACGAGATACTCGACGTGGGGAGGGTCGTCGTCGGTGACTCGGCGACCAATGATGTTTGAAACGAGGAACTCCTCGTGACCGTCCACCATGATGGGTGGAGGGCGCTCATATGGTCGTCCAGCGAAACGCTCAGACGGTCTGTGGTAAGGACGCAGTAACGAGACGTGGTAGACATCATGTACACGAGCCTGGCGTAGGTAGTCGGGCAGCTTCACACGAAAGCTGATCGGGTTAGATGCCGTATCAGAACCGACGGCCTGGAGGACGCGGCATGGGCCAAAGAAGCGACGCCGAAACTTGCGAAGCGTGTCCGCTTCGAGCTGTAAGTGGCGGGCATCGATAAGCACATCATCACCGACTTTGAATGGATGATCCATTCTCGATCGGTTCGCACGTGCTGCCATGCGAGTCTGGGAAGCGGCTATGTGCTCATGTGCGGTCTTCATAATCGACGTAATGTGTACAACCCAATCATCCAGCGCGGGACAACTCGTGTCAGGGTGCATCTGGGACGGTCCAAGGAAGTCCGCGGGAACACGAGGGTGATAGTGGAGGTCGCAATAGTAAGGCGACATCCGCATGGCTGGCGAGACGGCGTGGTTGTAGGCTATCTCCGCATGGGCAAGATGAAGATCCCACTGCTGGTCGTCACGAACAATCTTTCGAAGAATATCTCCGGGAGTCGTGTTCGTGATATTGGTCTGACCATCAGTCTGAGGATGGTAAGACGAGGAGAAGCGGAGCTGAGTGCCGTATACCTCGTGGAGCCGTCGCCAGAATCGGCTTGTAAAGCGCGGTTCACGGTCAGATATGATGCTTAGAGGTAAGTCGTGGTCACGCACGACTCGGTCGAACTTGATGTCAGCGACCTCACGTGCATTTATGGCATAGCGGCACGGAACAAAGCGTGCATGCTTCGTGAAGCGGTCGACGACGACCAGGATAGCATCATGACCGCGAGGGGTCGGAGGACGAAGAGGACCGATAAAGTCCATCGAGATAGACTGCCAACGACCCTCAGAGATAGGAAGAGGCTGGGGCAAATCATAAGGCAAGTGGTTCGCACTGTTCACCTCCTGACAGGTCGGACACTCTGCGACGTAGTCCTTCACAAAGTCCTTGCGCTTCGGCCAGACGTACAGGCGGCTCACACGAGCCAACGTCTTGTGGAAGCCCMTATGACCGACAGCTGCCTGGTCATGGAACTCTGCTACTGCTCGGACACGTAGCTGTCCGGTGTAGGGAACGCAAATACGGGGCTCTCTGGTGCACTGTGAACCGTGCTAGTACACAAGACCATTATCCCCGAGAGAGTAGTTCGGGACGGTCTTGCCACTCCGAAGGGTCGCGTGGATGTCGCGATAGTCGGGGCAGTGGCCGTACTGAGTGCGAAACTCGTCGATCACCGAGCGGTGAACGGTGCTGACCGAGATGGAAGAGAGCTGGATGTGCTCCTGGTCGTGGTCAGGGCGCCGGGATAAGGCATCTTCGACCCGATTAGTTTCACCCTTGATGTGCTCAGTGGTGAAACTAAACGCGGAAAGGCCGCGCCACCAGCGAGCCTGTCGAGGAGTGAGCTTCAGTTTTGTCAGAAAAGTCTGGACAACAGAGTTGTCTGTACGCACCGTGAACGGTGCCCCGTGCAGGTAGTGACRCCAGTGCCRAGCGGCATAAACTACTGCGAGAACCTCACGTTCATCAGCGGTGTAGTTTATCTCGGCGGGCAGGAGCTGACGGGAGTAGAAGGCTATCGGACAATCACCGGAGCGAGACTCGAAAGTGTCGTCCTCGGCGATGGTCGGAGAATAGTCAATAAAAGGCTCGTCAGTAGCTGGACGAGTACGCGTCAGTCGGGAAACTGTGGTAGGGGTAAGTGGTGGGAAGCGAGGGATACGAGGATGAGAGAAATCAGGAGAGGAGGGAAAAACCTTAGAAAGCGTTGCTCCTACAACGAAGTCTGACGCATCGGTGGTAAGGATAAAATGGCGGTCAAAATCGGGTAGGTGAAGAACCGGTGCGCATGTCACCGCTTTCTTGAGGGCGCGGAAGGCGTCCTCGTGGAGGGGTGTCCAAGCCCAGGGTGGGTTCTTCCGGAGGAGGGTGGAGGTAAGGACGTAGGAATACCTAGCGTATCCCCGGATGAAGTTACTATAGAAGCTGGTCAGGCCTAGGAAGCTGCGAAGCTGCTTGGTGGATGTGGGGCCGGGCCACTCCGCAATAGCAGTGATCTTCGCGTCGTCCATGTGGAGACCCTGGTCAGACACGTAGTGTCCAAAGAAATCCACTTTGTGCTGGGCAAAGCGGCACTTGCTCAGCTTGGCGTAGAAGCCATGTCTGCGCAAGCGGTCAAGGACGTCGCAGAGGTGTCTGAGGTGCTCCTCAAGGGTACGACTGTAGACCAGGATATCGTCGAGGTAGACGAGAACGTACTGCTCCAGGATGTCCCCGAAGATGTCGTTCATCGCCCTCTGGAAAGTGGCGGGTGCATTGGTAAGGCCGAATGACATCACCGTAAACTCGTAGTGGATGAAGCGCGATCGGAACGTTGTCTTCGGCTGGTCGGCTGCAGCGACGCGGATCTGATGGTAACCGCTACGAAGATCAATCTTCGTAAAGAAGCGGTTGCCTGCTAGGCRGTCGAACAGCTCATCGGAACGAGTCATGGGGTAGCTGTTCTTAACCGTGTAGCGGTTGAGGCCGCGGTAGTCGATGCAGAGACGAAGAGTTCCATCCGCTTTGCGAGCAAAGAGGACGGGTGCACCCCACGGGGAGTTGCTGGGTTTAATGAAACCCAGTCTCAGGAGCTCCTCAAGCTGACCCTTGAGTTCGGTGGCCTCGGGAATCGAGAGTCTGTAGGGTGCCTGGTGGTGAACACGATAGTCAGGCATAAGCTGAATGGAGTGCTCGATGTCACGCATCGGTGGGATGCCGGCGTACGAGAACGACGATGGGAAAACGTCGTGGTACTCTCGGATGAGGTC